GGAAGGGGCTCGGGAAGCTCTGGAGGCGTCGCCGCAGGAAGAGTCGCCGGGTCAGTAGGCGCAGTCAGCCCATCAGCGTCCAGCACCGGCTTGAGGCCCCAGCTCTCGGGAGTGAACGAAGGATCGCGGGCCAACAAGGTGGCGTGAATCTCCATCTGCGCCTCGCGGAAGCCGAGGCGGTAATCTCGCTCGCCTAGGTCGAGGAGGAAGTCATCGCCCTCTGGGGTCGCCAGCCACTCCTTGGCCACCTCTCTCCTTCGAGCTGCCACCGCCGCCTGCACATCCGCCTCGAAGGCCGCCGACTTCTTATAATCTGCGACGGAAGTCGCGGCGATCGTGGCCACTTTGCCCTTCTCCTCCTCCCATTGACGGGTGACCCTCAGCAGCTCGGCGTTGTGCACCTCCACCATCTTGAGTTGCTTCGCCTGCTCTTCTAGAAGAGATTCCTCTGTCTGGCGCTGCTTGGCGGTCATAGCCCGCATATCGTTCCTATAGCCCTGGAACCGATTGCCCAGTTCCATCTGGAGGGCGAGGTCCTGCACACCCAGCCGTCAGTCGAACAGAAAAGAAAAGAAAAGAGAGTAAACAGAGGGAAAGGCCGAATGAGTGACACTTACGCGATACGACTGCCGGAGCAAAGCCTCGATGATGAACCCGTCGCCAAGAGCACGGGTCGACTCCACATCCTTTGGCAAAAGGACATCCTTGCACCACTTGCGAACGGAGGTGTTGCCCATCCAGATTTGGGCGTCCTCGTCCACCTCGTGGCACAGCCTGATCCTCTTTGGAGCCGGCCCCTCCGTAGGCTCAGCAGGCCGCTTAGAACTCGGGCTCTCAGTAGAGGGAGGAGGCGGCTGCCGACTGGGCGACACCACGGGCGAAGGTGTGAGGTCGACCACGTTGTGGGAAGATGCAGGAGTCGGCCGGACCGCCGGCGATGGCTGAGATGAGGACGCAGCGGCCGGACCCGTGGAGCGTTGCGTCAGGCGACGCCTCATCTTTTCCGCCCTGTTTGCCATCTCAGGAGTCGGTTCGATTGCTTCGCCGGAGCTGGAGGTATCGGAGTCGTACGGACCTGTAAAAGAAATACACTCACTTGTGAGTGTTCCCGTGGAAAACAAAAAGCAAGACGAGAAGGAAAAGGAAAGAGACGCTACCTATGGTGGCGGCGCCCTCCGGCAGAAGGCCATGCTTGGCCATGGCCCGGACTCGAGACCAGTACTTAACGGAGTACGGCCCGAAGCCTTTCAAGAAGTCGCCGCCCATGACAGCATCCTCCGTAAAGACGGCGCGCCGAGAGCAGGGCTTGAAAAGAGTCGCCGGCCAAAGGGTCGGAAAGGTGAAGGAAGAGGAGCGAGGTCGAACAAAGAAATAAAGGGGCTTCCACTCCTTTATCGAGTCGGACAACCCCTCAAAAAGTTGACGTCCCGGACGGGCGGCGACTTGGATAAAGCCGGGCGAGTGAGAGCCGACCTTGTTCACGGTAAAGAGGTACCGGAATAGGTCCAAATCTGGCTCGCACTTCCACCAATGGCAGAGATTGATGAAGTTGGTCAGGAGTCGGTGGGAGTTAGGCACTAACTGGCCCGGGACCAAGTTATAATGCCGGAAGAGAAGCGAAAGAAATGGGTGTGGGGGCACTCGGAAGCCAAATGCAACCGAGTGCAAATGGATACCCACAAAACCCTCCGGCGGGTCGTGGATAGGCCGGCCCTCCGCCGCGACGACCATGGCCGAAGGGCCAAGCAGAAAGCGGGCCATATCTAGGTCCGCCGCTGTGGCCGACGATGGAAGACCGGACGGCCGGACAACCGAGTCAAACTTGCCTCGCGGCCGTATAACGCCGCCCGGCAAAGCCGCCACCGTAGTTAACGGGGCTGGGCTCATCGGAGTGGCCGCCCCAGAAGAAGAAGGGGCTAAGTGGGAAGAAGAAGACACCGCCTGGAAGTCCGCCGGCATTTCCAGGCGGCGGACGACGGAAGAAGAAGAAGAGGACGACGGGGAAGTCCCCGCCGGGTTGTCAAAGGACGGCCGGCGGGAGGAAGAAAAAGAATGAGAAGAGGAAGACATTACTTACAGATTGAAGCTGAGGCTGGGAAGGCGATGAAAGAAGCAGAAGCTTGGTAGGAGAATTAAAGAGGAGGAATGGAAGGAAAAGGCCTTTTAAAGGGAGAGAGAAGTCCAAGAGGCTGCCACGCGGCGCCTCCGTAGTGGAGGAATCGGAGGCGACAAGACGTCGAAGGGATGCCGCATTTAATGCCTCGATGGGCGGAACGACGGTTCAGGCCTAGGGCTAGCCTGCAAGCGGCGCGTCTACCCTAGGCCAAGGCTGAGTGACGATGACCCGGCCTGCCAGACCAAAGGCCCATCAAGGCAAAAGGTATGGGGGCCCATCCAGATCACGCTAGAAGTTTCTAGAAGTGACCCGGCCGGGTCCGGCCAAATAAAGAGGCCCGGACAAGCTTCAGGTTGCAAGATCGGCCGACTAAATTTGCCGAGTCTCCCACCCACGGGACTTAGTCGGACAGAGTTTGTAAGTCGGTCATAACGACCAAGAGTCGGCCAAAGGAACACACAAAAACCAGGGTCCGAAAAGTAAAAACGAGATTTTATTCCATAAAGACAGGGGTACAAAGCCGAGGACTCGGCTATAGACATTACACAGAAAAGATAGGCCTAGGGCTTAACTTCCTCCTCCTCCGCATGACGCACCGGCTCCGGACCCTCCAAATAGTAATGGGGGCGGAAAGGCAATGGATTCGGCTCAGGCTCGGGCTCGGGCAGTTCATCCAGATACACGGCAGGCTTCCCATCTACGACCATCTGCAGAGGACTCTCCAGAGCACTCGGCGACATGGCCATGCCAAAAAGCGGAGGAGCCTCCCAGTCTAGGTCCCCCTCTGGCTCTGGATCCTCTACCATGGGCACCATCTCGTCCTCCTCCGGGTCCACGACCATCGGATCAAGTATGTCAGGAGGCACCACAATGGGATCAGAAGCGGAATCGCCCACCAGGTAACCTTCGCTAGCCGCCCTCTTCCGCCGGAGCTCCTCCTGCCGGGCATGCTCCTTATTACGGATGGACCAACGACGATCACCGTCCCTGAAACTCATAGCTTGAGGTTTTTGAGGTATGAAATGGTGAGAAAGCACAGAGCTACCAAAAGCCCTTATATAGAGCCTCGAGAGAGCAACGACCGAGGCGCAAATCACGGAGGGAATCGTAACTGACATAACTGAGCCGGATTGGACGGGCAGCGTGAATCTCTGTCAGAGATTAATCCCATCCAATTAGCTCGGGAAGGGTGAGATTCGCACGCTAAACTGGAAAAAGCCTGGCTCGCCCGGGGAAGCGAGATTTACAGGTGTCAAGCGGAAGGAGGACTCGACATTGCAGTCGACTCCTCGACAATTGAGGCGGACGAGTGCACTAAATATACTGAAAAAGAGAAAAGCTGAAGGCCGGAAATATTTTATTATAAAAAGAAGGTGCAGGTTACAAGGAGCTTATTACAGAGTAAGCAAGTGCTCCTAACAGAACTACCCCTCTAGAGAATCCGGCCGACCCCAGTTCACAAAGATCACTCACTCGGCGAGGAGGAGCCGCTTCCAAAGAACCCTTCCGATGGCCCAGGAGAGGGTGGGCAAAGCGAATCCCAGAACGCCGGCATGAGTGGCGGCACAACCAGCTCTTCATCGTCCGGGTACATCTCTTGATAACGAGCGAAGTCTTCCTCGTTCATTAACCCGGTAACCGGACCGTCCAGGTCATCCAGAGGAATAGAAAAGGTCATACGAAAGGTCAACTGCTCTGGGACAGGCACGTTAACAACGGTCCCGCCTGGGGAAGTTACTCGAGCAGACCCCGGAGGAGGAGAAGGGTGAGAAGTCGGAGCGACTTCACGACGAGCAGGAGTCGGCGGAGGAAGAGCCATAGAGGCGGCGCCAGCAGGTGATCTCTGTGGAGTCGGATGGGGAGCCTTCCTTTTAGGCTCCCTCTCAGGCCGAGTCCGTTTCAAAGGCAAAAGGCGCCGGGGCGACCCAAAATCAATCTGCTTCCCTTTCAGTGGTGAGCGACCCATGAGGAATTAGTAAGTTAAGAAAAGAGCGGCCGAGGTCATTTATAGGTGTCAGGCCAGGCCGAGGAGATCAGAACGGTCCCGCGAGATCCGGGAGATAGCGAATAATCTGGGCCAATCCTGAGTCATTCAAGGCACGGATTCGGTGAGCTGGAGAGGGTTACTACTTTTCCAAACCCAGGTTGGTGGACCGGGTATGGAAAAGTGAGGGACTAGTTGATGGGGTGAGAACCCCGGCCCAAGAAAAGAGGCCCAGAAAGAATGCATGGGCCGAGTCCAGGACTCGGCCCAAGTCCAAAGAGGGAGGCCCAGTTCAGAGACCGGAAGGACGGCCCAATACCAAACGGGGACGAGGAGTCGGCCCAGGCCCGACCTAGGGGAGGACTCGGTCCAGAGAACCATTGAGGGAGCCTTCAACACAGTTAAGACAAGGAGCCGTTGAGGCATTAAAGGCCGGGCTCGGTCCGCCAGTTACTAGCCAAAGAGAGCCGTTGGCAGAGTCTGTAACGTCGCCCAACGGCTCGGCGCATTGAATGTACCCTTTAAGTCGGCCATCATGAGCCTTTAAGACGGTAGAGGAGGAGCCACTATAAAGAGGGCTCATCCACCATTGTATGGGGCAGATTTTAAGAACCCGGAGAGGGAATAGACAAGTACTATTAAGCATCATATTTTACTAAGACTCGAACCCTTTTGTGAAAGGTGTATCCACCAGCTTAAGGTTGTGTTGGACCTCTTTGGGCCCGAAAACCCAAAAACCATCAGTCTTCTTCTTTGTTTTTTTTTTGTTTTTTTTTTTTTTGTTTTTTTGTTTTCATTCAACTTTAAATTTTACATCCCTAAATTCCTAAGCTACCGTACAAATAACGGTCGATCTCCTCGAACGGGTGCGTCCAACCTTCCGAGCCGGCAAAAAACAACCTATGAAGCAGGCAAAGATTCCGGCCGCCACAGGAACTCCGGCATACCGGACGCTTCAGGAAAATCGAACAGCCCACCAACGGTCACAAAATCGCATTCTCCGAACTCTAAAATATTCTCAACACCGCCGCCGGTTGCCGGAAACTCAGCCGCATCGGTGCTTTCTCCGTCCTTGGCGGGGGACACTGTCGGTGGAAGGCCGAGGTCGTTGTCCGAAGCTTCTAGAAGGTAGCCCAGCTCCAATTGGGACTCGCCGGAACCTGATGACGTCACATCAATAACCGTCTGCTCTGGCTGTGGAGGCGCGGGGTGAAGAATCTCTTCCTCAAAACTTTTGATTACGGAATCGAGGCCCTAAATGTCCGGCTCACGATCACTCAGGATCTCCGACTCATCCAGGATCTCCAATATGTCTTCCCTGATATGCTTCATCGCCGGCGAACCCAAGTCCACACCCGACAAGTCGGACACAGTGTCATCCTCGACTCGGTCAGAGTTAACTCGCCTGGACTCGGGAGCAACCGAGTCAAACGCGGAGTCATCTCGGGCTCGCTTGTTACCCTTCTTCTTATTAAGAGTATACTCTTCCATTGCAACTAAGTAGAGCAAACACAAACCCCAGGCTTATTTGGTAAGTGAAAAGCACTCCTCTATGGTAATTAACAAATAAATATTAGGATAAGGATTATGAGAGAGGGGAAAAGAAGTGTTTGTCTTTGGTGAAATACAAGAAAGAGTGAAAGCTTTATATTGCGATAGATGAAATGGCCAACAAAGAAAATTAATGAGGTTGGAAAGTTGGGTGTCCGATGGAAGGAAATGGTGAGTATAGGTAGAGGTAAAAGCAAGAAGTAAAAATAGATAAGAAATTACTCAAATGAGTTGATTTGGGTGAGTTGGCTGAGTTGGGTGGGGCCCTTGGAGAGGGAGAGAGAGAGATGTGAGTGAGAGAAATGGAAGGGTATTAGGTGGTTTATATACTGGGGATGGTGGAAGGAGCGAAAAGTGGGGAGTAATGGAAAAAGTATAGGGTTTGGTTGGTTAGTTGGATGGGAATATGGGATGGAGGGGAAAGTACGTTGACAAAGATGGAAGGTTTATCTATCAAGGGTGTGTTTGTTTTAAATATTTGAATGAGTAAATTACAGAAATGGTACGGTCACTCAGCTATTACAAAATTATTAATTTGGTCCTCGACAATTTTTTTTATCCAATTAAGTCCTTGACTTTGAAAATGTTAACCGTTTTGGTCCTCTGTTAGATCAGGGGTTAAAAATCTGTTAAATGGAAGGGTATTAATGGAATTTCGCACCTCTGCCCTAATTACTTCAATCGCTGGCTTATCTCGACCAAATCGCTGGTAGTAGTCTTCCGTTCAATTTCCGCCAAGGATTCCCATTCCTCCTCCGAAATCACAACCATCGACGTCGCTTCACTTGCACCATCTCGCATAAGACAATCCCGATCGCAATCGCAACCTGGAGCCTGGAGGGTCGCAATTGGTTTCTGGAGGTGAATCGCCAAACAGAGACGACAAATTCCTCCTTCTAGCGTTCGCCGCTCGACCTCCACCTTGCAATGCAATTTCTGGAAATAAATCACTATCTAGTAGAAAATCTTCAAATTGACCACCGATCCGAGTTGGGAACCCATCAAATACCATTCTATGGTTCTCGACATTTCAGAACGAGAGAACGAGGACTCTGGGAATACCGAAGCTTATGGAGCAATAGTTGACTGCTATACCGAGCTTGGTGATCTGGAGCAAGCTGCAAAGTACTACGATCAATATATTTCAAGCTTACAGTCAGATTGAGTGATTTTCTTCTCTTTTTCCTATTGGTAGTCTAATGTTGATTTGTTAGTAGTCACTGTTAGTTGGCTGGAATTCTAAATCCCCCAGAAAACTAATCATTGTTTTCTATTCTCTGCTTTTCGTTTGCCTCCAACACTTGTCTGAATTAATTAATCATGTTTGCCAAAGTCTAAAAGAAAACTCTTTTTCTTTGTTTATTGACATTATCCAAATCAAAAGCTTATTAATGGTTTGTGGGTGGTGGCTCTAATTGTATTCCCTGTTTATTTGAAAATTGGATTAGGGGACTTTAAGCTTGGGATAAGAATTGAATTGGTTTCAGGACCTGAAGCCTTGTCGATGATTCTCCAAATTCCGGCGACCGAATCGTCACCGGCAATTTTCGGTTCCGGCGGGCAGTGGTGGCAAAAGGCGGCACGGTTGTGCTCCCTCTTCACCGGCAATCAATTAGAGCCGAAAAATGGCAGCAGTTGCGCCGAGGCAGAGCTCAGTGACCTTGACCACCGAATATCAATCTGAGTGTTTTGATATTTATTGGGCATTAGGATTTGTCAGGCTATTTTGCTCAGGCGTTGGAATTTTAGGTTTGGGTTTAGGATGTTGAAGAAGTTTGGAGAATTTAGTGTATGGATAAGGATAAATCTTCAACCCATGGAGGATGGGGTTTGGTACGAAGGAGTTTGGCCAACATCTGTTGGCGACGCCGGTGAAGAGCTGGAGAATTCTATGCGAAAATCCATTAATATCCTCCGGACTTCTAACCCTGATCTAATAGAGGATCAAAATGGTTAACATTTTCAAAGTCAGATGACTTAATTGGGTAAAAAAAATTGTCGAGGACTAAATTGGTAATTTTGCAATAGTCGATGGACTATTTCGATAATAAACTCTATTTGAATTGAAATGGCGAATCAAATACTTAATCCACAATTGTAATAAGAGCCAATAATGTTAGGCTAGGCTATTAACTGGAACAAAAAAATGTTAGTAGCATTGTTTCTTAAAATGAATGGTTCATATTATTTTGATTTTAGGATATTTTTAATGATTTCCCTTATTTACCCTCTATTATATTATTTTTTCTTCCCTTAAATAACTTAAATTCCGTTAGTATAAACTTAGTAACGAAATATTCCGTTAACTATTTATCAGTGTTGCAAAAATCGCGCGGCGATTAATCGGCGCCTAGGCGTCCCCAAGCGCCTAGAGGGCGCCTAGCAATTTTTTCAACATTGCTATTTATTATTTTTAACTTATTAATTTCTATAAGAAAGGTCCTAGGTTCGAACCTTATCCCAATTAGAGTGGCATAATTGTTAAAACATATACTACGAATATGTTAAAATGTATTAATATATATATATATATATATATATATATATATATATATATATATATATATATATATATATATATATATATATATATATATATATATATATATATAGGGATGCACTCAGGTGTGAATAAGTGCTCAGGAGGGAAATGCGAACGAATCAGCGCGCGACACGTGTCCAGATATAATAATTTAAAAAAAAAACGCGGTGGCATTTTCGTAAATAATTGAACATCGGAGTGCAAGTAAAATCACTTACAAGTGCACCTACTTTCACCTATAAGTGCATGTAATTTTGTTTTGTTAGCATTCACTTCCCGCAAACATTCATGCACCTGGGTGTGCTGATAACTATATGTGCAACTATTTATAACTATAAGTGCAACTACTTATAACTATAGGTGCACCTACTTTCACCTATAAGTGCATATAATTTTGCCTTGTTAGCATTCACTTTCTGCAAACATTCATGCACATGGGTGTGCTTATAACTATATGTGCAACTATTTATAACTATAGGTGCAACTACTAATAACTATAGGTCCACCTACTTTCACCTATAACTGCATGTAATTTCGCCTTGTTAACATTCATTGATCTGAGTTCAGCAGGTAGTAATACCCCTGAAAACCACTCGCAAACATTCATACACCTAGGTGCAACTACTTATAACTATATGTGTAACTACTTATAACTATATGTGCAACTACTTAGAACTATAGATGCAACTACTTAGAACTATAGGTGCAACTAAGTATTGATGCTCAATGTAAATTTTTACTTGCACCTATAATACATTTTACATGCACTTGTAATACATTTTACTTGCACTTCGATGTTCAATTATTTACGAAAATGCCACCGCGTTTTTTTAAAAAATCAGTGTTTCTCATCCATTAGATCTGGACACGTGGACGAACAGAATTCATTCCTATTTCGCGCCTGGGCGAAGCATTCGCACCTGAGTGCGATTCTATATATATATATATATATATATATATATATATATATATATATATATATATATATATATATATATATATATATATATATATATATATATATATATATATATATATATAATTGCATTCAGGTGCGAATGAAGCACCCAGGAGGGAATATGCGAATGAATCAGTGCGCGACACGTGTCCAGTTCTAATAGATTAAAAGAGATGCGGTGGCATTTTTGTAAATAATTCAACATCGAAGTGCAAGTAAAATGTATTACAAGTGCATGTAAAATGTATTATAGGTGCATGTAAAATGTATTATAGGTGCAAGTAAAATTTACACTGACCAGAAAGTCTATTGCCTTATATCTAACCTTTTGTTTTCGAAAATTCTCTCATTCCGTCATTTCCAGATCCACCAGAGTGTCGTGGAGAAGAGGACACCGTTTCTGTTCTTCCTTTGGCCAAAGAAACCTTTGATGCCTTCGTCGAACCATGTAGTGAAAGGTAGATTCCCGGTGATACTAATCATGTTGGGGAAAATCAGGTCCCAAATTCTTCTGGCTTCAGGACACCATCGTAAAAGGTGGTCAGCCGTTTCAACCACGTCGGGGCAGATATCGCACTTGTCGTTGTTCGTGAATTTTCTCTTGGCTCTGTTCGCATTAGTCATAAGTCTGTCTCTTCTCGCAAGCCATAGGAATGTGTGGATGCGGCTTGGGACTTTTAGGTTCCATATATTGCTCCAGGATCTTGAACTGTCTGCATCTGTGGAACTTACAGTAATGTCGTAGGCCGAAGCTACTGAGAAGGTTCCTGTCTTGTCTTCTCTCCAGCCCATGGTGTTGTCGTGGTTTGCAGAGAGCACAACAGCTGCTAATTTATCCTTGATATTGGGGGGAAGGAGTCTGATCTGGGAGGCCCAATCCACCCTGTGTGTTCGTTCCAGTAGTCAGCAACTTTTGAATATAATTCCGGCAAAGGAAGGTTGACAGATATAAACTCCTTCAGTGGTGGTTGGCATAGCCAAGGGTCCATCCAGAAGAGTGTGCTTCTACCATTTCGAACTAGTTTCCTGTGACCTTTAGTGACTGTAGGGACAACTTTCATAATGCCTTTCCAGGCAATGGATGAGTTTGATCTTTTTATCCAAGTCTGGGGGTTTGAGGAATGAATTGCATATTTGGCTCTTGCCATTTGAAACCATAAGTTGTTATCGCCGGTTAGAAGTCTCCAGCCTGTTTTAGCAAACAGAGTAGTGTTCATTGCCTCCAGGTTCTTAATACCAAGTCCACCTTTCTCTGTGCTTTTCATGACTGTGTCCCATGACACCATGCTGCACTTCCGTTCACCCTCACGTCCTCCCCAAAGGAAATTTCTTTCAATCCTTTCTAGCTCTTTGGTTACCCCAGTAGGAAACAAGATGGACTGCATAGCAAATAGTGGGATTGATGAAGCGACAGATTGGATAATTCACTAGTACAAAATG